AGCTGACACCACAAGAGTGAGGCAGCTCCCTCCCACTGGAAAGAAGCCTGAAGGTACAGAATGACATTATCCCTCCTCACCTTGGGCTCAGGGGAGAACAGGGTGGAGCAAAGCCTGGCTGGCAGCAAAACAGCTCAGACTGCCCTGAGTCCCTCTGGCACCTCCATTGCCTTCAGCGTGTGCATGTCTGACATGCACAGCTCCTTGCTGCAGCTCAGGTGTCCCAGCCCCTCTGAACAAATGAGGTCAACACTGGCTTCCCAGGGCCATTGGAAATAAAGTCCAGAGGTGAGGAGGAGGACGAGGACGAGGAGGAGAAGGAGGACGAGGAGGATGAGGAGGAGCACAAGGAGGAGGAGGAGGAAGAGGACAAGGACAAGGAGGAGGAGGACGAGGAGGAGGATGCATTTGAATTTTTTCTTGCACCTCCCCAGCATCACTGGAGGGCAGATGTTTGTCACATCCGGAAATAAAATGGGGGAGGAAGAGGAAGCTCAGCTTGGGCTTAAGGCAGGTTTGCCTCAAGAAGCAGCAGCTATTTTCCTGTTGCAACACAAGCAGGGTATTTTCCTTTCTTTTACTAAAGAAAATGCCTACAACCAAGATTTCAAATGCATGTGACTAAGATTAGGCTCCTAAAGCAATAATTAAATCTTTAAGCAAATGGCCTGATCTTCTTCAGTGTTGATCACACAGTGACTTAACCCACCTTCATTAGGAGCTGAGGGATGCAGGGCTCTTGAGAAAACAAGAATGAAAAAAGAAAAATGTCAGGCCCCTTCCTAGGGTACATGCTGGTAGAATTAAACAGGTAGCTTGAAGTAAGCACTTTCAAAAATTATTCCCTCCCTCCTCTTACATCAGTTTCAAGCCTACTGCTCAACACATTTGATACTGAAAAGCAAATTATATCTGCATACATGAATGCATAAATTTACCTCTCAATTCAATTGAAAAGAATTTTTTACATTAATATAGAGAAATATTAACTGTAGGAAAAGACTCACCAGAGTTTATGAGCAGATAAAGTCAGACCTTGGTGCCACAGTGTGAGTGAGTCCTGGGCAGGTTGGGTTTGCTCATTGCACAGATTCCTGGGGTTTTTTTTGGGATTTGTTTCCCAAGCCTGCTCCAGCTCCCTGGGCAGGGTCAGGCCTGCTGGGATACAAACACATTCCAAACCTGGGCACTTCCAACAGGGCATTTACAAAGCACCTTCCTGCCATGGGATTTGACAGCATGTACATTAATCTCTCCAATTACAGCCATTTGACTCTTGCAGGGTATGTAGGCAATTTACATATTAATAAAAAATCTGTTAGGAAACATGAAATTACACAAAGTGAGACCCACACAATTTTGATCAGCTACACAGCATCAGGATCAAGAGCCTCCTCATATTAACCTTTGTTTCCCTTGTAAGCCAAAAGCTTTCTAAGAACCTTTCCAAGGCTTTATTGGATTACAAAGAGGGTAATTATAGCACTGAGATGAATCCAGTGGCTCTCTTGTAATGGAATAAAGCCAGTTCCAGATACTTGACAGCCAGCCTGACTTGGCAGGGCCCCACAGACACTGTTCTTTCGTGGGTTTTTGCTTTTCCAAGGGATGAGGTGACTGCTCCCCAGTCCCAGGCACCCTCACAGGCAGAATGGGAGAACCCAGTGCTCAAAGGAGGACTGAAGAATGAACAGTGTTTGCAAACCAGCAGAAGTATCTCTCAAGAAAACTTTTGCCATAAAAGTTTGGGGATAATGGAGGACTTTTAACTTTCTTAATTATTTCAGAATTTATTTCAACAGACACTGCACATGCATTGTATTGTGGGGAAGGGAAAGAAAGAGCAGAGGTGATGGATCTACTGCTAAGAAAAACTGAAATCAGCTACAGCATAAATATGGCTGACTGGGCCTCTCTACACTCCTATGATGCTGTTCTCAGATGGAGAGTGTCTATCTCCTTTAGCTTACTTTCCATACAGGAATTCTACAGATTCTGAGCCAAGAGGACACATGTGCCGAATGGTAAAGGACCAGGAGGGCTCCAGTCACTGGGCACTGCAGGGCTGCAAGGGGAGAGGAACAAGACAGAATTCAGCCATCCATTCTGAAATAGAATATAGGGGAAACACCAATTCTCATTGCTGGAGTACTGACCCAGGGCACCTGGGCAGGTGCTGAATTTTTCAGTGGAAGTGAATGAGTTAGTAAACAATCAGCCACCAGGGCTGGTACAACTCTGAGTAGTCATAACTGACCCAAGCTCAGCACCATCAGAACCATCCCCTGAGACTTTTTCCCCACTTTTGACACCCAGGGCTACCTCAGCAGCATTATAAACTTCACAGCTGTTGTACAAAACAGTTTGCAGAAGACATTGCAGCTGCAGAAGTAATGAGGGCAAAGAGGAATAAACCACAAGATGTTCTTAGGAACAACCCAGACAGGATCTCCAAAGCCTGGGAGGCCAAGCTGTGCCATTGCACCTTCAGCTGTGGCACAGGGAGTTCCTGAGGTGCTGTGAAATCCCTTCCCAGGGCAGAGCACAGGCTACTGGTGTGGGAAGGAGAGAAAAACTTACATGAAACATCTCTGGCAATTCAATTTCTGCTGACAGCAATGTCACACCACATCACGAGTGGAAGAAGTGAACCCTCTGGAGAAGTGGTTACACACCTGGTATTGTGACTTAGACATGTCCTGTGCACTGGATGCCTTTACAAGCATTTGGCAGATCCTAGAAATAATCACAGCTCTGAAGGCAATTTTTATGCAAAGCAGAGCTCTAAAACTTGTTTAAAAAATATCCACACAAACAACAATAAAGGTCACCCGTCCCTGCTTTGGGAATGAGGGAAGATGAGGAAAAGATCACAAGGATTACCTGAATGGACTTATAAAATCCCACCTTTTGGAGCTGTTTCAAATCCCACCTTTTGGAGCTGTTCCAAAATGCCTCTTACTCACTATCTTGACTGGAAAGAGCAAAGAACAAATATTAAGGGTAGGAGGAGAATATACAAACAATTACAAAAAATATACATTTTAACAACTTGTTTGATTATCATTCACTTGCAGCAAGGGACAGATTCCCTGCAGCAGGAATGCTGCAAAACAAACAATCTCAACAAGCAGCAGCAGCTCTTGCCAATGTAGACAGAGCAGCTGATTTTGTAACTTTATTTAAAGCACTTAATTTTTCTATTACTTGTACTTAATTAGAACCATAGAAAACAACTGGTATTTCAGTTGAGGCCTGAAAATCTCAGTTCCCCCACTGGCCATGTGCCAGGACTCTGTGACTTTCCCTAACACAGGTTGTTGGTGGCATGAAAAGACTGTAATGTCTGAAACAGCTCCAGTGCAGCACAGCCCCCTCCAGCACCAAGGGAGCCCCTCCATGCAGAATTTGGTGACACCCACTAAGAAGCAAAATCAAGATCTGCAGAAAATGTTGAGATTCTACTCCTCATACAAATCCCAGTGAGGAAGTTCCATCTTTAAGAGACAGGACCAAGCAGCTGATGGAAGCAGCTTCCCTGCCATGGAGGCAGAGCTCCCTGGGCTGTTCCATGCAGGGGCTGCATCTCTCCATGGCCTCTGCCAGCAGCTCTCAGTGACACAGCACAGGGCAGCTCCAGGGAGGCCCAGGCACAGCTCAGATTATCCAGTTGTTAGTCCTGCTAAAGGCAGAAAAAAATAACAAAAATACACATTCTTTGCCCATAAATTGAAATGAAAGGGAGAGGCATTTGAAAAGATGGGATGAGTAGTCAGTGTGATCCTGCTCATTTCTAGGCACTGACTTTCACAGAGGAGATGGAGTAGGAGGAGGGAGGAGTTTGCCATGGACTGCTTGTACCATTTACAGAACAGCATTTGGCATCTCTTGCTCATATGTCAAATACGTGCCTGCACCGTGGGCCAGATGCAGCTCCTGATGAATTTTTTTAAGAGGAATTTAATGCTGACATAACAAAAGTGATAAATTGCTCAACTGTTTGCAGGGCAAATCCTGAATGTACCAATAGAGAAGCACATGGAGCTGCTGATATCCTGCCATGGCTGAAGCACTTAGGACCTTTGCAAGCATTCATAGCCAAGAGCAAAAATCCCTCCTTGGATATGGGGTCCCTGGCAGCACAGGGGTTTCCCAAAGGTCAGTGCTATAATGACCATGGCTAGTTTTTACAATCAGAAAGAGTTGCTCAATCTTTCAGAATACAAACTTTTATTTTAAAGACAATTATTACACTCTCACTGAGTACCACTAAGTTTGTCTATTATTTCCCATAATGGTCACATTTCCCTACCTAAGTCAGATTTCAGAACAGATTTTTTAAATATTAGGTAGACAGAGAGAAGAACAAAAACCTGCAGTAGCTGAATTATGCTATTTACAGTGACATTAGACATTCACAGTCATTACAGGAATATTGTGACTTATGATCCTTATGATTTACTGGGAGAATCATGCAAAATTTACAACACTTTACAATTCACTTGCCAATATCTTGCTTAGGCTTTAAGGTGCTACTGGGAGCTAAGCCAGGACAAACAATGGAAGTTGGCCACAGTGGTCATGTCCTGTTTGGTGCCTGGCATGATATTGTGACAACAGATAGCACATCCAAAATCCCCTTCACTTTGGAGATAAGAGTTCAAATGGACAGTGATAGTTAAGTGGTTTTACAGGTCCTACTGCTCACTCATGAGAGGAGATACTAACCCAAGGCCTGAGGATACAGTGAGGAGCCTCCAAGTTTTTGGAAGAGGCACACCATTAAGAGGTTACATATAAAACTATCACAACCCTCCAGTCTTGAATCTGACATGACTTTGATCATTTTTGCTTGACTTTGATTGTTTCTGCTTCTCTTGGTCATTTTAGACAACTTAAACTCTTTTTACTGCCTACATTTTCTGAATTGTACAGGCAAATCTCATCCTGCTGAGAACTCACAGGCCTCCCTAATCTCCAGGAGATGTTGTGCCTCCAGAGCTCCTGCCTTGTTGAGGTCAGCAGCCATGCTGGTGACAGCTCTGTAAAACACCCTCTGGAGCTCCCCAGCCCACAGAGGACAAGGGTCTGGTTGTGGATGGGGGAGGAGAGTTGCCATATGCCAATGCATGAGCAATTTTTGACTCGCAGTCAAAAGCATCCAAAAATTCTGTGTGCAGGATTTTGTGCCATATGGAGGAATTGTGATTTGGCCTTTTCCCCAGCTGTATCTCATTAAGCAAAAAAGGGAGGAAAAAAGGGAGGACATTCTTTTCTTCTGTGCAAATCTCTCCCCAGAGTTCATCTTCCTTTGAGGGACAGTTCATTGCTGGTGCCTGGAAAACCAAGTCTGAGCAGAAGGGGGCTGTAAGAATCCAGGTGCTTGAGGACAGGGCTCTGTCCAACCCAAAAGTTTTTTTTGTAAATCTTCTATACTTTGAACGTGACTTCTTTTGGAAAGAGGGAGAAGTGCTACAGAGAGACAGGACTGGTTCTACAGGGCTAGAAAGAGCAGAGTAGAAAAAGAACCTCATGTTCCATGAAGTCTGCAGGGGTGCACTACAGTAAAGGGTGCTGTTTCCATGTACTGCAGCTTTTTGCACTAACAGCATTTTGCTTGTGAGCTCTGTGGTCTGTTTGTGTGAAAGGTTTGTTTAATCTGAGGCTTCACTGAAATTTTGTCCTTATCTTTTTTATAGACACGGATGTGGCATTACCATAAGGCAGACATTAACATGGTTTAATGTTACAGAGACAATCCCATGGCTGGTGTCACACAGGTGACACCACCTCCAGGTTTCAAAGTTACAAAGACACACAGACACCTCAGATCCTCTGTGCTTCTTTCCGATCTTCCTCGATGTAGAAAGATGTCAGAAGGAAAAATCCTCCTCCAAAGACCCCCACAAAGGCACAGGTGACAAAGCTGTACTGCATGCTCCTGAAACTCCACTGCAGTGAGGGCACGTTCCTGGCCTGGATGGCATTGGAGATCTGGGGAGGGAACAAGGCTGCATTAATCTGGAACAGCACCTCCACCCTCTCCTGCTTTAAACAGACTCTTTACACTGTGGGCCTTGAGAAGAATAAAAGAGGCAGACAGAGATGAGAGTCTGCTCCCAAAGTTTGTCACTGCACTGCTCTCCAGCTTATCCTTATCCATCCTTATTCTGTGATTCTGTGATTCCAAAGGGTCAAGAAATCTCAGGTTGTTTTGCACTTTCAGTGCCTCCAGTCACAAGAGCAGGAAATATGTTTTACCATTTCCTAGCCCACCTCCAGACTGCCAGCACAGGCTGGGCATGGGGCAGTGACCTCTGGCATTTCTTGATCCTGTTCAGTAACTTCTGTCTCCCTTATTGGCATCCAGGGTATAGAAACAGGAGGTCAAGCAGCAATATAGGCACAAACAACAACACTCATTAGACAGGGAAAAGATGGAAATTAACCTAAGACAAGAGTGGGGTCTGCTTTTGAGTCAAAAGGCATTTGAGGAGTTATGGAGTGACATTGTGAGTAAGTGGAAGGAAGAAAATACCAGGCAGGTGCTTTTTGCACTGGTGGGACAATGAGGTTGTAAAGGCTATAAATGATACACATTAATTTTATTTTTGTAGACAGAAGGAAAATCTGATTTCCAGAAACTCAGTGAGATTCAACACTTAACCCAGGAACCTGAAATCTCTTCTCAGCATAAACAAAGAGATAAATGGTGAAAGCAGTCATTTTTATTCCCACAGTTGTTCTTGAAGGTTAGAATATACTGTGTGACTTGAAATGCATAAATACAAGACTCTTCAACCTTTACTGGGTTTCTATGATTATTTATGACAGTTTAGAAAGATAAGAGGAAGATCAACTCTAAATGGGTACCTAGGGATTACAGCAAGCATAATGGCCATGATACAAACCTAATACATTTAATTTTAAAATGCTTAGAGAAAAAAATCTCTGAGGTGCGGAGGGAAGAAAAACAGGCTTTGAAAAAGAAAATTCCCTGATCCTTCAGCCAGATTTTAAGCTAAAAGTTTGGCTGAAGCAGGTTAGGAAACATGGACATGAAAGTAGAAGATTTGGTGTTTAACCATCAGCAGTCATGGGAAATGTTGGTGTGTGGGCTAACAGAACATTCCAGAGGACAATGTGGGTGCTCAATACACAGGAACCCACTTGGACACAGAACAGTTTTATTCCTGGGTTTAATGCCTCTGTTCTGAGATTAATCTCATCTGGTTAAGCTTTTTTTTTAGGTTTTAGGGTTTTTTTAGGGTCTTCACTCTTTCAAGAGCTGCTCTTTAAGGTGACTTCTGCAGGATGCAGCACAAAGCCTCAGTTCTGCCCCAAAGAGGGGAAAGGACAGAGGGCAACAGGCACAAACAGTTTAATCTTTCAGGTAGAAAAATCAATAGATTGGTCAAAGGGAGAATGAACTAGACACATTTCAGCTTTTGGGGTACCCCCATTTTTGCATGCCATCTCAGCCATTTTCCACAGAGATGTTGGTTGTTGTGGTCCCACACATGTACAGTCAGATATGTGTGAGAGCAGGAGTTCCCTAACACCAAGGAGCAAAGTGGTTTCTTCATTTGCCAAAAAAAGAAAGTCAGCAGGGGTAATCCCTCAGGGAGAGAGGCTCTCTTCTTTGCCAGACAGATGATACAGCTGAGCCTCTGGTTTCACCCAGCTGAGGACAAGGGGAACCTCCTGTGTGGCTGGGCCAGCAGCAGCTGGGCAGGCACAGCTCACCTGGGCATTGCTGGCCCTGTCTCACCCTGACACTGTTAACAAGGGGTGAACTCTTTAAATAAACTCTCATAAAAACTAAACTTTAAATCACTGACAAAGACTCAATCTCCCATGTCAAGTAAAGCAGAAAACTCAAAATGGGTGCTTTGTTAGCTACTGTGTCTTAAAATAAATGGAGGAAGGAAATGAGACTGTCAGAGTCCACTGGAACTAAAATTAATGAACTGCACAGAGAAAGCAGAATGAAGCTGGTTTGCACAGAAGCACCTAAGATCAAGTAAATGTAGGAAGGGCAGAGAAATCAGGTCTCAAGGAATGTGGGAATTCAGGGTTAAGGTGATTTGAGACCAGAGCTTCAAAGGCCAAGTAGTATCTAAAGACAACCACTGCACCCCTTTTGTTCTGATTTTCAAGACTTATTGCAAGATTTCAAACTTCAAGTTTTGAACTAAGTCTTGGGTTTTAACACACTGAATTAATTTTCATGAAACTCACAAACTTAGCAGAAAGTGCCTAAATCCTATGACACTGTCTCTGCAACAATGTATGCCTCTAAAAATATATGAGCCTGTAAATTTCTACACACTGGATAGAACTATTCACACCTACAAGCAGTGTCACAGGACCAAGTGCTTCATGCAGGTAAAAACATTTAGAAAAATGTCTCTGGTCCTAGACTCAGGGCCAGCAAATTGAGTAATTTCTGGTTTTGGACCAAGTAGTGCCTATGATTCTGTGAGTGTCTATCAATTTCTAGAAGTTTTACCCTAAGGAAAACTCAGTAAGGAGAGAATTCACTTACAGCTCCAATGAGGTATGGGCTGCCTGCATCTCCCAGTAAATGGCTCACCAAAATCTGCAGGGCAATGGCCGTGGATTGTCGCCTCGGAGCCACCACGTACTGAAACACAGCACAGCCCACAGAGAGGGAACATCAACACAGGGAACTTCAGCAGTGCCCAGTGCTCCAGAATATCCCAGAGACATGGGCAGAGCAACACTGATGTATTTCATATTCAAACACTCTTTACAACTTTGTAAGACAAATTTCATATTCAAACACTGTTTAGAACTTTGGAGACAGAAAAGTTATTCTGAGCAAAAAGGTACACTGCATGTTTTGCTGAGGAAAAAAATATTCAAGAAAGGAAGACACAGGAGAAAATAACAATAAAGTAACTAAACTGTGGCTCACATGTGTCCATACACAGCTCAGAGCAGCTTGTACAGATCCATTTGGCCAGGCAACCAACAGAAGCCTCCAGGCAGTATCCCTTGCAGTCACAATGATTTGCTAATAAGGATTCAGCACTGACAGTTTCTCAGAAAAATATCTTATGACCTGGTCTAGACTGCTGAGGGAAAGTGGGGTGCCTGGTACCTGGAGGAGCTGTAAAACATGGCAGCTGAGGCCTTGCAGACCCCTTGAAGACTGAAGGTGGGGACCCAACCTGGCAGACCAGAAAGTGGCTGGTGATGTTTTGATGGTATTGCCTGTAACTGGGAAGCACCTGAGACACAAGGTACTGTAGTAACAACACCTCACACTGATTTGTTTTTCAGTGCACACAGTTTAAATAACAAGCTGGAGAAGAAGATGTGGTGCACATCCAGAACATGGCAAAGCATCATGTAGATTAGAACAATTTTGTCAAGTGAAATATAGTAATTTCAGGGCAATAAGAGCTCTATGCCTGTGCTACTGAAGATCAACTCTGCCTGAAGAAGCCTTTCAATAATACATTTATGCAAAAAGCATTCACAGTCAGAATGTTTCAGAAGCAATTTCAAACCTTCATACCTCTGTTTTCCAACCAGACTTGATTATATCAAAAACAAAATGCTTAATGTTTTCTCAGTCCTCTATTCCACAGTTTGGGGGGTCTTCTTGAAACTCACCTAAATGTCACTAAGTATGTCTCACACACTCATTAATAGTATGATTGGTGTTTTACCAAGGGACAGACTCAAGGTGTATGATCTATACTGTGGCTGTATCACTGCCTTCAAGGAAACATTAACATGCATGATAAATTTGGTTTAAAACTAAAAAAGACCCTGCTCTCACATTTAATTTAGAGTTCTGGTCCTGCTTACTACATCCTACAACCAGTTTCAGTAGAGAACCAGAGAACACTGGCAGTGCCCCTCTTAGGCACTTGGCCTCAACCCTGGATACACAAATCACTCTTAAACCAGCATTTCTGCACCCAGCAAGAGAGCTCTGAGCAGCTGGATTAGAACAGGCAACCTCCTTCCTTTGCACATGTGCACTAATGCATAACCTGCTCCATTCCTATTCCTCCAAAGCAGGTATTTCTAAGCATGGATAGAAGATTTCTTTCTCATTAGGAATATTTCCCTAGAGTGCTTCAATAATAGTAAATATTAGACCAGGGATGCTTTGGAGATCTCTTCAGAGTTACAGAAAACCACTGTGATGTCATGTTGCCAAAACACTGCATTCATCCAGTGTAGGAGCAGAGTTATGTGAGATTGGCTGTTCTGAAATCCTGGTTGCCTGTGGTATGGAGGAACAATCCAACAGCTCCTTCTCACTGAGGCCAAAGCACACCATGGCCTAGACTGAGGCTGTGCAGTCTACCCACTTTTTTTTCTCTCAGAACCTACCTGGATGATGAGCATGCACACTGTGTGAACAGGCTCTCTTGTGCAGAGACAAAAAAAACGACAAGAGGAAGCTCTGAGCTTGGGGAGCAGACCTGGCTGTGACAGACTGTACTAAACTGGAGGCTGTCAGCTCTTGGCTCTCTGAGGTTTTCATGTCATCTGTCCTAGACTCAATTTCTTTTATGGATAATGACAGGCTGTGTTTGAGAAATGCAAATCAAATATTGTTATGCACTTGATATATCATGGGCATTGCAAGCATGAGAAAAGCTAAATGTACTTTGGCTCTCCCAGTGCCTTGCACCACTTCCTTACTACCTTTACCTAATATCCCATATCTGCAACTACAAGAGATGGAACAAGACTGTAACAAGAAAAATACAAGAGAAGGATGGGGTGTTTCCTAAAGTTTCAGGGCTCATACAAACTCTGCCTGTGCTATCACTCAGGTTCTTCTGCACAACAGAAACTATACTCAAGAGCTCAAGGCACTGTGGGATTCACCAGGAAAAGAATCAATAAAACAGTCCCACAGGGACTCTGAAGAAGCCATGGCGTCCTGCTTGGCCACAGGGACTGCCCAGGACCCCACACCTTGGCAGGAGTGGAGGTGACATCCTGCACCCTCCTCCTCTGAGGAGATCCAGCCCAGGTGCCTGGACAGAAGCAGGTGCCCCAAACAGGTGCAGTTTGCAGATCCCTTGTTGTTGCACTGCAATTTCCTATTTTGCCTTCCCATCTCCCTCAGGTGTGCCAACCTTTCCCCCTCCCCCTTTTGCCCTCCTGCCTAAGAGCTGTCCATCAATCTTAACAGGGCAGGGGCATCGTGTGGTTGGCAGATGCTCCTCAGGTCTGGGCTCATTGGCCTGTCCAAGTGTCTGTATCCCAGGAGCCTCCCCGTCCTCACACCTGGTTGGCCCTCACCTGTCCCTCCCCTCCCCCTGTTCCCGGGGCTTAAAAGGACACGAGACCATGTGGCCGTGTGTCTGTCTGGGAGCTGTTACCACATTCAGAGGTCTACCATGCTGCAATAAAACTCTGGATTAAAGACTCTCTGACAGAACCCGCTCCTTTTCTCTTCACTGCTGCTTGAATCTTTTCCACCAAAGGTAAACTGAGTTCCTATTTTGCCTGGACTTGTTCTGAGTGCCCAGCTGCAGCACCCAGCCAGCCAAAGGTATCTCTGAGGTGAAAACACCACAGCTGCAGCCTTTGGTCCAGCAGTGAGGCCAGGCAGGACACACCCGGAAACATTCGGGGTCTAATATTTAATACCTTGTGCTGCTTCTGGAGGTTTCAGAGACTCCCCTGCAGACTCTGCCTCAGAGCTGTCAGCTAAAAAAGCAGATGGATCACTTGGTGGTTCAAACAGGCTGGTGAACAATTCTGTGTCTCCCAGGGCACTTCCAAAGACAGGGACACCTTGGTAGCCTTCCCAAACCCCTCCAGTTCCAACATCTCCTACACTATTAGCTGCCAAAACCCTGCAAGACAGAGTTCCATAACCTCCCAGATGGCAAACGTGTTTCACAAGGAACACTCCAAGAACAGCCTCCCAATAAACCAGCAAGGCAGCTACAGCACTTCTCCACTTGCACATGAGGACTGTAGTGGTTCAGCAGATATCTTTGTGTACACTGAATAGAAGGCACAAAGGTGGCTACATGCAATGCCTCTTGATGCAGCAGCCACAAAGGGAGGAAGTCCTTATCATTCAGTCAGCATCTTCCTTGTCTTCAGCTCCACAGGTCACAGCAGAAATGAATTCCTGGCTACATTGTGTGGTTATAGTGCCATGGGAAGAAAGAAAACTCATTTTCATGGCAAACTAAGAGCATGCATTAGCAAATCCAGCTACATTATCAGAGATCCTACCAGTTCATATAGGAAACAAAGCAGAAATTACTGCTGTTATCTATGGCACCATTCAGTCAATATAACAGCAGTAATACACTGAACTCCTGGGGTTTCAGCAGGATGAAACACAACTCCCAAGTAAGATTGTCACTGAATGAGCAGACATCTACAAATTCAGCTCAATTCCATCATTTTCTGATAAAACAATTAGTAGCATTTAGAATTCAAGAGACCCAACCCAAAGCACATTTGTGGTAATAAACTTGATGTCTGTTCCCAGGGTAACACAGCACCCCAGAGCTCTGCCAAACTTTTCACCTCCCCACTTGTTCCCAGTTGATACAATATTGCTGGTAAGTAATCCTACAATATTCTAAAATAAATGGAAGTTAGGGATGTTGGTCACTTGGGAGACAACTTCCTTCTCCTCTAGATTTACATGGATCCAGGATATGGCAATGATGCTCCCCACAGGTTTCCTGCAGGCTGCAATGTGATGCAGCATTCCCTCAGAAAGCTGAGATTGGAGTGATGGAACTGAACAAAAGCTCTGTTTGGATTCAGGAAGGAATTGAAAGAATGAGCTGATAGCAACTACCTGCCTTGCTCTCCTCACCATATCACCATTTCCTAACTCAGTGATGTCACCTTCCTCTTTAACAGTGACAGAGGACAGAATTAAAATACAGATGTGGGAGTTCAAAGAAAAGTAAATTGAGAAACTTAAAAAAGTTGGTGCCTCAACTCATGTGAAAAGAATGGCAATGGTATTTATACTTGTTTCTGGTGAAAAAAAAAACCCAATTATTTCAAAATAAACTGAAATAGAAGATAGATAAGTAAAACCATCAGTCTGGACCAGTGATAGTTTTTCTGCACCTGTTCACTGCTGCAATTATCTCATAGGATAATTCTGTCTGACCATTCTGTGAGAGTTAAATAAGAATCAAAACCCTCCTGGCTGCTGGCTGAGATTTTAAGCAAGCAGCCAATTGACTAATGCTGACTGCATTATTTACTATTTTATTAAAATTCCAGAGTGCAGAAAACTGACATGTAGAGAGCAGCAGCGTGAAAGAGAACATAATGCACAGTCAGTGTCAGCAGGGCTTTGCTGAAGACCCATGAAATGTAAGTAGCTCCATTCCTTCATCTCAATCAGGATGTAAAGAGAGGTTCCTCAGCTATGAAATACAAAGATGAACAGACTCACACCAAGGCAAGGTCAGCAGTGGAAGGAGAGCTCTGCAGTGCTTCACAGCTGGTTCCTTTGGTCACTAGAGAGTGCTCAGCACTTGGCAATGTACTTTCTGATCCTTTTACTCTGTAATAGGGATACTTTCATCTCTGCTCAGCTTGTCCACTACCTGGGTTCAGTTAGCCAGTAGAGATACCAAGAAATTTGTATAGCTGAGCAATTCAGGCCACAGTGCCAGCAATTTCCAGCTCCTGTGATAGCAAGGGCCAATGACCTGTGCTCCACTGGAGCCACAGGCTGCAAGGTTTTTTCCTGTCCTTCTTGTGAACTGCTATTGTGCATCACTGCATGTTGTGCTACACATGAATGCACTCACTGTGGCTCTTAAATGAAAATTGTATTATGACCATGAAGTTTGCAGCAGCAAATGGATTTCAGCTCCCTTAGAATGAAACACTATTACATAAAATGGGAAACACTCACTTGACTCTTGCTTGGGGATAAACAGTCAAAGATCTCTGTTCTGCTGTCCCTTAACTTTGTGCCTTCTCTCACTTGTCCTGATGGCTTTACACAATTTTCCCACCTTCAGTGCCACCTGCAGCAGCATTGTGCCTGTATCACACTTGTCTGAACAGTCTCTGTCTCACAGGCAGCTTCCTGCTTGAAATATTTGGGTTACCATCACATCCACAGTTTCTCAGCACAGGGATCCCAAAGTAGAGTTTGGGTCCCTTGGGTGATCTACTCCTCATAGAAAAGGGTGGTGTCAATTTAAATATTTTGTCTTATGCCCACAGGTAGCAACAAAAAACCTGTCAATCATATAAATAACTTACTTTGGTATTTAAATCAGCTTCCTGCAGTCTATCAGATATGAGCATTTCTTTGCTTGTTGCACTGATAAACCATATTCAACTTGTTCATATTATGGATTATTAAAAAAAAAAGTCATATAAACTACTTGATAAGACTGTCATGCTCTGTGTAGTTCAGCAATCACAGTATCTGCCCCAGGCTTTACACAGACATCTATTACTGACTGTGGAGCTACAACCTAAATGAAAGGTTGCCAAATTTTTATTTATAGTAAAAACTCTAGTAAAATTACTAACTCTAAAAACCTTTGAAATGATAAAAAGAAACTGCTCATCACAGTCTAGACAAACTGTGCTACAAGATGTGTGCTTTTCACATCACTCCTTTCTAAAGAAATTACTGCTGACAGAATCCAAATGCAACCATGCACTGCTATTCCTTGGCTTGTGGTGTCAGCCCTGGAATTCCCAAGAGCCCCTGAAGCATCACTGCTGGCCTGATGCTCTGGCAGTGTAGCACAATTCTGAATTGGACTTGCAAGAGCTGGAATTCATCTGCACTGGATTCTGAACTCAGGGAACTTGCTAATAGTTCATGGATTATCAACTTTGCCTCATTTGGATCATCCTTTCAAATCTCTGGAAAACAAATAGAAAACCTGATTATAGGCACAAAATGACCTTGTTTCTGGTGCAGACCATTGTCTAGCAGATATCTGACAGCACAGGGCTGTAGAGAGGCCCAAAATACCATGGGTACAGACAGCACTAGAGAGTACCATGTGCATGAGTTCAATCCAAATCAGGACATCTTCCTGGGATTATAGTAACCTGGACCACTGCACCACCACACCCTTACTGCCTCTGGCATCCTTGCCCAGCAGTACATTGTGGCAGTGATTCCAAGCAGGATACCAGGAAGGGGATACCCTGTAGGGCTTTTTTCAGCTGTCCCCAGAAAGCCACAGAGATGATGCAGGCTTAGGAACAAATTACATTGTCAAAACCTTGAAATAAGGAAATAGTTTAATGAGCACTTACCAGCAGTATGTCTGTCACAACAGCCCAGTTTACAGACAAAAACAGTTCTCCAAATGCAATAAAAATCTGCAAAACAGAAAAAAAGCAGTGACCATACTATACTATACTGTACTATACTATGCTATACTCTGCATTGCCCTTCTATATTGTGAAGGTGAGGCAGGCTCACTCACTGTGCTTCTCTATGCAAGAGTTGTCCTACATACCCATTACTTCTAAATTAAACACCTCTGTCTATGCTTACAAACACTAACTTAATCTTAAAGGTGGGGAAAAGAATCAAAGAAGGTGTTTGAGTCACAAATGCTCAGCAGAAGAGCCAAAATAGGAAACATACCACCCTCCCAAATTAACTGCTATGAACTACTGAACCCAAGAAGAGAAAAGCAGGATCCATGGAAGAGAAACATTCAGCACAGGTTTACAAAGTGCACAGGGATGCAAATGAAGCCAAGTGAACACCTCTGGGCCAGTACAAGTACTCCTAAGGGCTCCTTCAGAGAGAGAACTTCCAAAATGGGATGGACTCCAAGGAACAGGCAGTCTCAAAACCTGGGTGTCCTGTGGGAAATCCCTAATCCATCACAGATGGAGACCCAGCCATAAGGAAAAGGGGGGGGGCACTGAACAGTTCTTATAGCTGAGGCCTCAGAAAATATTAACCCTTTCAGCCAGCCCTGGACACAGATTGGAGCAGCCTGCCCAGACTAAGAGAGACTTAAAGGAGGAAAAGGATTAAAGTTACACCATTGAGGTGGAGCAGTGCTAGAAAGCAGAGTCTCTTCAGAAACAGGCCAAAAGTCACATGGCACCTGGCACAATATTCTTATCTGCTAATCAGACTGATGGCACATTGTTACAAGCACTGGGTTTGGTAAGATCTTGGTCACAATGTTGTCCCTGGTTTATAAAAACACAGCCTAGGAAAGGCACAGTGACAAATTCCAATGTTTTTGGAGTGGTGGCTTACATCCTCCTATGGAGAACTAGAGCTAGAATACCCAGGATACCTATAGATATCCTGTAGGTAATAGATATAGATAATAGACTAGGATATCCATACATCCTGTGGTTCTTGTCTATTCTGTTCATTTGTTTTCTTCTCCAAGCCAGTTTGGGGAAAACAGTTCCTTGAAGTACTGATATACTTAGTAGAGACCATTATCCAGACAGCTTTTCCTTCACAATGCTTTAGATATTATAATTAATATATTATTATTAGATATAAGGAAGAAATTCTTCCCTCTGAGGGTGGTGAGGCCCTGGCACAGGGTGCCCAGAGCAGCTGGGGCTGCCCCATCCCTGCAAGTTCAAGGCCAGGTTAGACAGGGCTTGGAGCAGCCTGGGCTAGGGGAAGGTGCCCATGGCAGGGGAGTGGAACTGGATGAGCTTTAAAGTCCCTTCCAACCCCAAACCCTGATTCTATGATTCTAATAAAAGGTATGTTTTGGTAGTTCCAACCAAATATATTGATTCACTCATCTATCACAGACTGGCAAATTAAACTGTTGTTCTCTACCTTTAATGACAAAAAATCCCCTGAGGAACACACTATGAGTGGAGCTTGTGGGATTCTGAGAAGCAGAAAAAGACAATGGCTAATTCTTCTGGGCACTCAGATCCCCACTATTGGATCCAAAATAATCTTCACATTTCACATTCTGCTTTGTGTACACACACTCAGACAGGCCAATCCACTTGTGTTTTCTCTTGGTGTAAAGGTGTTTTTCCACAGGAATACACATTCCTGATGAGTCAGAAGGAAAACCTCTTTGAACAAGCATTATTCTTAGAAGCAAAAAACATGCAAAAGTGCCCTTTTGCAGAGAACTGTTGATTACTGTAATTTACTTTACTTTACATGTTAATCATGGTGATTTTGGCTGTGGAGTCACAGAAAAAATGCACAGGAGTCTTTCCCCAGCTGTTACCAGATTACAGTTGAAATAGGGTTTACATTCAGTTCCCTCTTACAGGGATTTTTTTGTCATTCCTAGTAAGTTTCTGTTTTCCCTTTAACTGAGAATGGAATTTAAGTGATTTATACTTCAGTTTGTATTGCCAAAAGCTTGGCTTTGAAGACAGGCTGGTGATCTGGGCCTTTGAAGGTGAGGGCTAAATTATTCTTAGCAAGAACAGTGTGTATTGTACAGTCCCAACCACACCAACCTTTAAGTATTCAGAGAGCAAAAATAAATAAGAATACTAAACTAGGCACAAAGCATTAAAAATTAACATAAGATTGAGACTTGCTTTAACTACATTTTTGCATAAGGGACATGTTTCAACACAGCTAAATGCATAGTTACTATTCTCTTCTTCAGTGTGGGCACTCTGCAGGACCCCAGGCCCAGTTTTTGTGCTCTGCCTGCCCTTTATACTGCACCAAGGACTGCCCAGTGGGGCTCTCACAGGACAGACCTCAGCTATGGGAGCACCAGAGCCCACAGCTTACCTGGATACCTTGCCACAAGCCACTGAAACCTCTTGAAGGTCTAGAAGACTGCAGAAAAATCTGCAAAACCACCCCTTGTCTCCTCCTCCCCCTTCCCCTTCTCCCTAGGATGCCAAAAGACATTTTGCTAATTGTCACTTACAAAAGTGGAAAGGATGTTTGTCTGGGCCACCATCAGAGCTATGTAGAGGCACAGGGCAGACATGAACATGCTTGTGGCACAGATCAGAGGATCAGCTTTGTTGTTTATCTTCCTTAAACGTCTTGCAGCTTCTGCCCCAGCAATAATACCCAAGATTCCTGTCCCAATGGTGATGCCTCCAAATATTAGGCTGGTGACAAAGCAAAGGATTCAGCTGAGCATAGTAAAACTGTACTGTGGAAAAACAAATGGTGTTAGCTTGTACCTGTAGTTTCAGAGGAATCTTTAATAGGGAAGTTGAATTTTTATTCCACTTGATGTGACCCTCCCACTCCTTCTAAATGGATGCAATCCCAAGCCCCAGCTGAAGCTATGGCTTTGCAATGGTGGCTGTATCCCCTGGAGAAGACATTTTCCCATTTACAGAGCAGGTGTTATGCACCCAGGCTCAGGGAGGGCTCTGCTCAGCACAATCTGGCTTGGACATGCTGTGATTTAGAGGAGACAGAGTCATTGTGCTTACCCTGTGAATCAATCTAGCCAGCCATGCCTGAAACACAGATGGAGCAACCCTGTATCACAATCTGCTGCCTTGGAAGAGATCCTGGCACGTGGAATGATCCACATCTAAATTACAGCCCTCTGCTTAGCACAGCTGAGATGAGTCACTTCTCTGACTATGGGAAACACCTACCACTTCCCAGAAGAGTTCAAAGAATTCTGCAAAGGTAACTACTGCCAGGTCCACGTAGCATTTTCTGAACACAGGGTTTCCAATACTATTCAGCTTTGTGTGTCTGCAAATGCAAATGTGTTCTTCAGCAACCACAAGTTCATGTTTCAAAAGAACATGTCTGAATAGTTGAGAAGATTCAGCTTCCAAAGGGACTTGCATGTGTGCTTTTGTCTCTGTCCCAGTGAGACCCCCCCCAATGACAAAGCAAATCTCTTGCACAAGATCAGAGGTGCCACAGCACCATAATTCTCTGAAGGTAAGCAGGGGCAGGATCAATGTATTCTGAGCACAAGCACTTCTGAATATTTTAGAGTGCTACATGGCAAGTTCTGTGCATTTTCCTGAACTTTTTCTAACTGCAAAGCAAAGTAACCAGCTGGGACATGATCTGTTCCTTTAAACTACAGAACATCCACTTCTTAATTTCTTTCCAGCTGATTAGGAAGAACTTAATAAGGCTACAAGGAAAAAAAAAGGTATTGCTATGCAGGATAACAAACTTTAAGAAAATTTGGACTCTCCCTACAAGTTCTTTAGGATTCTGATCCATCACTGACTATAGCTTGATAGTGACATTATAGATTGTCACTTGGCAGAATAATCTCAGACATTTGTTCAAGAGAGGCAAGTTCCAAGGTGACATTAGTTGATTGAAGCATTCATGGAATTGTGTTTAGAATGTTCATGTATTGTAAACTGTAGTTGAAATAAACCTGCAGCTGGAATAAAAGAGAGTGGCCAAAACTAAATCCAAGCACAGCTCAGTTGTCAGGGAGTAGAAAGTACAGAAGCCTAGTACAGGGGAAAGGCTCCTATGGGATCCTTTAGGGTCTGAGAATGCTCACTTATCTCTCTGATCTGTTTGAAAGTGTTTGCACAAAGACCTGAACAAAAACTTCACACTGCCTATTTATCTACCTTGAAAGGATTGAGACTTGAATCAGTTGTGGTGCCATTTGAGTCTGTGTTTCCAAGGAGTCTGAGTGACACAGTCCTGATCCTTAAACAAAGTCTGAAACTGCTCAACAGCCAGAGGGAAAAACATCTTTAAAAGTATCCCTGGGCAGGTCTGGTAATGTGCAGCTCAGTTCCTCCAGCACCATCAGGTCTGACATAGTTTATATTCTGTTTCTTTACATCCCCTTGGAAGAACAGTCCAAAGCCAGCCTTATGCTGCTTCTGGCATGAGCTTATGCCAAGGTTATTTTTAAAGCATCCTATAGGAAGTAGTACATGAGGTTAAACTATCAAATGCTCTGTTTCACTTCCCTGAAGACCATGTCTGCTCTAACAACACTACTGTGGAATAATAATTCAGAAGTGGATTAGAAAACAAACTAGAGGCCAACACCTTCAAATTAACAAAGGAAGTACTTAAACTGCATCTGTGAACAGATACAGCCAAACATCTTAAACTGTTCAGCTTCCCTCATCTGCCTACCCTGAGCCAGACTCCTGGGCTTCACTCCCTTGCCTGTACTGTTCATTGATAAGTAATGTGCCACTGGTGGCATCCCTGCAAGGACAATTCCTTTCCCATGGAAGGATTCTGGGATGACTCTTCAATCCATCTGGTTTTGCTACAACTCAGAAATCATATCTGAGTTGACTCAGTTATTCCATTGCAGAAAAACAGAAAAATCCAATTAGCAGAGGATACATTCAAGGGGTGATTACTGTTTTTCCCTTTAATTGTCATTACCTGGAAAGGCCATGTAATAAGCCCTTAGTTCTCTGAAACAAGACTTGAGATACCTCTGGGAGAAAGGGATACTTGTATGGAGACCACTGCCAGGAGTCAGTCCCAGTGCTCACTGTGACTGAGGGAAGCTGTGAAGACTCAAGAGGAACACTGAATGCATATTTGTATTCTGGACAGCACACTGTGAAGAAAAACTTCTCTTCCTTGGTGGGGAAAAGGGATCTACAAAAAGGTGTGTCAAAGTTTGAATGACTACTTCTAAGTGTTTTACTAGTGTAAATTCCCCTTCTTATACAATATTTGATACTATTCATGAATCTTCATTGGTCTGGACATGCTCTGTAAGCAGAGCTCTGCTGGCAGCTATTCACAAGATCCTGGTTTGATGTGATGATCTGATACTACATCAAAATCAGCAACCTTTCTTCAAGCTGGGAGCCACAGTGAACTCACCAATATGGCATGGATTACAAAAACAGAATAAGAAGAAGATAATAGGCAAGTTACTAAAACACAGGATTCAAATATACTTAAATGGGTATTTAAATAACTTGGGGTGCACAGTCATTTGTCAACTAAGAACTCCTTGCTAAAGCTGCTCCTTTTTCCCTACAACTGTTGCTATTACTGCTTCTTCCCACTTTACTTAAATAGGGCTGGCAGCATCTTTCCAGTTATCTGAGTATTATAAACAAACAACCAAAGGGGAGTGTCTCAGATACCTGGAGGCAATTTAACATTCACACCCCATTCCTTCCCAAGAAGTGCCTGGTCACAGTCATGTGCAAACCCAGGGCACTGGGAATATTTCCCTGTCTGCTCTGGGGTGCCCTGACCCACAGGGCAGCACTGACTTTGACCCTCATCCATGGAGAAAGTTTCCTAGGCTTCAAGAGAGACTGGAATCCACAAAAGTGTGAAATAGATTGTAGAGAGTAGTGTGGGTGTATTACTTGGTGAGAAATTGAGGTTCTGGGATTTTTAGTATGTTGTGGATGGAAGCAAGATGGAGGGCACAGGGTGTCATCCTGGGCTTCTTCTTCCTCCTTCTTCATGGGTGTAGGTGGCATTTTGTAACTGGGCAGAAAAGTCCCCATTGTGGGCTCTGAGGGATCAGTTATTGGGTTAAAAGGGAAAATAATCCAGGTGTCAGCTCTTAATTGGATGGTTTAGTTGTAAAAGACCTTGGAACAAGAGATTATTGGCCATTTTGTGGCCAATATGAAAAGCTTCTTTCTAATGAAAAGCTGCCACACTCACAGTAGTGAGACTGTTTTACTGATAAGAAATAATAAACACCTGAGTCTGAACATGAACTATCACCTCAAGTGCCTTCAATCCAGACCCAGAGAAACCCACAACTGGAACCACCACAACATCCTCCCTCCCCTCTGGAAAGCAGCTGTGACTGAGCCCCTGCAGTGTTTCCAGAATGCTCCCAAGGCACAGCTCACCTGTTAGATGAATTGCAGGAGTCCTGGAGGCATGGTGGGACAAGGCCCTGGACAACCTGAGCTCTGTACAGAAACAGTGGCATCCACATTCCCAGGGCTCCAGTGACAAAGGCCATGGCAGTCAGACCCAGTGAGGAACAGACAAAACTACAGCTGAAAGTAAAAAAAAAAAAAACCAACTGAGAGATATTAGAAAGAATGGTGTGTGAGGAAAAAGGGAAAACCTACCTGCAACACCCAGGATATAGCAATAACACAATAACAAAACAATATGTTCAGACATCTTGCAATCAAAATCCACTCCCTTGAATATCTGAACTCTGATCAGGCTTTATTATGAAATTCAACAATAAAGCACTAATTAGAGCAAAGGGTATGACCCACTGATTTAATGTTAAATCCTGGTCTCTTGCAGGTTTCATGCCAACTTCTGCCAAAACAATTGCTGTGAATTTTTTGATAGCAGAAGTATAACAATAGAGAGTGAGCAAGAATTTAATGGCTTAGTACCTAAAGGAAAGGGTTCTATGTTCAAGTCTAAATGTTTCTGTAACCAGTATAAATGAGAGCAACATCTGGGTCTGGGCTGGGCTGGAGCACTCCTTAACTCTACCTGAGTAAAAACAGACTCAATCTCCACAGCAAGTTTCAGACAAAAGGAGAAACATTTTTGAGAACTGTCCAAACCTTGTCTCCTTCCTGCCCTATTCTAGGAGAAAATTAAAATTTTTGCTGGACTCTTTGGCATTAATAGTTCGGGAGAAAACCCCCTTTGAGGTCAATAGGGATGTATGCTGCAAATGATCAGGTGACCACCAAACTAGAGGATTTGTGAAGAAATGAATGGAATTCTTTGTTTCCTAAAGGTAAAGTGCTCTTGATTAAAAGTGGAACCACATAGTTCTTCAGCAGTATGTCTTTATGCTTTGGAAATCAATTGCCCAAGGAAAAGGAAATGGGAATCGATTGCTAAAGGAAAATAAAATTAAAATATATTTTTTTACACTGGAACATCTCTGTAGGAAAGAAACTTTGCAGATAGTCTAGTTGTTGAAATGTCAGAAAGGTTCATTTGGGTTTTTGATTCAGGAAAATTTATTTTATTTTTTTATTTAATTCAGGATGTAGTGCCTACAAATTGTGATCCGACAAAATTGATCTCTGATGTACCCGCTGATCAGGATGTAAAGAGGATGCAGATTTAGCGGGCAGTTAGAAAACGCTGGATCGTCTGGAAGAACACTCCGAATACAAACCATGTCCCAGGAAAGCAAATCTTTAAACGAAAAGCGTTGGACTGGAAAGCAGCGGCAGGCGCAGGCGGCTCTGGCGCAGCTGCACAGCGGCACCTGCTGTTCCCAAAGGCGGGCAGCGCCTCGTCCTGCCCTGGCACCGCCCGGCACCGCCCGGGGCCACAGGAGGGAGCGACCTGTCCGCTCCGCCCTGCAGGTCAGCTGCATCTTTATTTTTTGTGTGGTTAAAAGGAAGATGGCATCTGCCAGCCACAGCTCAGCCCATCAAAACACGTGGATAATTACGTTATAAAGATATTGGGGTCCCACAAACTCTGACCTCATGCACAGCAGGTTCCCAAATACCACAGAGTGCCTGAAACATGCTAATCCAACTTTCCTCAGGTGCTAAGAATTATAAATAAATTTACACCAGAAAATTATGCACTTTTACTAATCTAGCTTCTGTAGGGAAGGGAAAATTTAGTAGAAAGTAGAGCTTTGGATTCAAATAGGAGCAATCTGCCATCATAACTTCATCCCCTCCTCAAAATGGGAGGATAGAAGAAGCAAAGAAGTTTTTTATCTCTTTTGCAGCATTCCTGTAAAAAGTGGAAGATTTTTACTAATGGTGTTTCCATCCTCTTGCATACAGCATGTGGCTCAAAGCAGTAAAGTGGGACTCAATGGACATATTTCTCATAATGGAATGGTGACTCCTCAAAAGAGGGAGCCCTTGTAGCTCAAACCACTTACTTCTTCACAAGTGATCCCACATCTTGACACCAACTGGTCCTAGTAGCTCTGTATACATCTGGCTTCTCATCTGCTCCTCCTATCATGCCAGAGATGCTGAGTGCTCTGTGGGCTGCTGTCTTTCTCTGGATCCTGTGAGGGACCAGTAGAATCAGGAGAAGCAGTGCCAGTCCTCCCATGCAAGGAGTTACCTGTAGACACAAGGGTGGTTAGCTCAAAGATACCTGGTTTCTTATAGTGAGAACTCCACAGCAATTCCAATTGCATTACAACCACTATTAGAAAACTGCAGATATGTTTAGAAATAGATGTGTGCTGGTTTAGGTCATATTTGTAAAGAAAAAGAGTGACTTTGGTGACTTTGAAGAAAAGATAATAGACCTACCTCCCCATCATACAGATACCTGATCACTCCTCCCTCTGATTTAAAAAAAAATGTGAAGAAAGAAAACTGTACTGTATTCTAGCCACAAACACAAGAATCACTGATGCAGTCACCAATGTTACCTGAATAGCATCAGTGTTACTCCAATAAATACTCTGCTCCCCTCACCTGCCTGTCCTAGCTGATTTTGTATTCAAAGAAGTTGTTCCCAACAGCATTCCAGAAAACTGGTGCTACCAGTATAATGATAATTTTGCCTTCAAATTCCTCTGTTTGAGGAGGTCTTGGTGCAGTAAGAACCATTCCAAATGTGCCCTCAGGTAAGAGGAACAGCAGCACCTGCCCTGGCTGCTGTACAATTTCACCTACACCTATCAGAGCTAGGCAGAAATCTGTCCTGCAGGAAAACTTCCCCTAAACACCATGTTCCTGACCTGTCAGAGAGTAGGAAGTCCTCCCACTGCTCACCTTTAACATAATGAACATAAAGAATCCAAACCCCAGTGATGATTTTGATGTTAGAGTGAATGAAAGTGACTCACCCTGAATGCCCAGTGCCAGTCACCTGTGCTTTTTGCCATGCCAGCTGCCAGCATATAACCACAGCCACTGCAACCAACAGAGAGGAATGGTCAGTGAGCACCAGTGAATCTTGGATGGCTGAAATGACATGTCCTGCCAGCTAAGGAGAATGTTCTGTCATAGTTTTCCAAAGGGATAAACAGAAATTACCCCCATGGTCTGTGCTAGTCTGCTTGCCAGCCAGCATTAAAAAGAGAGTCTAAGCTCCTCAGAGCAGACTGGAGATGATGACAGTAATGTCCCAGATTCCCCTTGGAACACATATTCTGTAGAATGACACTGCAAACCTGGATCAAAGAGCCCATAAAACATTTTATTACCTACTCCTCCTGTGCTAGCCAAAGGAATTATGCCCTGCAGGAATTTCTTTAGTTTTGATCTGCCTTCTGGGCCCAGCCTTGGCTGCCTGCTCTGATACAGAGTATGCCTCTAAACCATTTGAAAAGCTCTTCTCCACCTTTTCTTCAGACACAATGTCAATTTAACTAAAAGAGGAGAGGGAAGTACCAGTTCTTCCTTGGGAGACATTTAATGGAGGATTCTTGAAAAATCTGTCAAATAAACTAATATCTAAAAGCTTTTGCCTTCCAAAACACAGAAATAAACTACATACTCTGATGCACATATTTATTTTAGAATTGATTCAATATTTTATTCAAAGCCAGAGTTTCCAGAGTCGAGATTCTCCCTAAAAATGTTAGGGGGAAAAAGTGAATTTTTCTCAAGGTAAGTAGAGAAATACACCTAATCAGCTCTATTCAAACTTGCCAAGGAAGTGACAAATCCCTTTGTAAGAGCCAATGAAGAAATACATCCAAATAAATCTGATTAGGGCTCAGAGTGTATTGAATTGCAGGTGTGGTCAGACAGAATTTCAAAAGGCCACTGCAAGAAACCAACCTGCCCACTGGAATGAAGATGTAGAAGATAGATAACACTGTGGTCCTTTTTCCTTCCTCAAACAGGTCTGCAATGATGGTAGGTGCTATAGTGGAGTAACTGGCAGAGCCAATGCCAACCAGTCCTCGTGAAAGAACAAATATCCTGTAATGCTGCAGGGAAAAGACATATTATAGTCAACAAAAGTCCATGCAAGAAAGAAAAGAGGGGCATTTTAGTGGATGAATCGACCAGAGGAAATCAGAATTCAACTGCCTTTTCTGTGTTTCTGCCTTTTCTATGTTCAGCTGAATACAGACAGCCTGTGTCTGCATTCCCTCCACTCACATCTCACTGCTTGGCTTTCTCTCTCTGCACAGCAGTGACTTCTCAGGGTGACACCCAGAGGGAATTTCAGGACAGGGTGGATAGAGCATATGTAACCAACAAGCTGCCACACTGTAAGGTCATAAACAAAAATCATTCAGGACAAAAATAAAACCCTATCAATCACAACAATAAGGTGTGGGTTCTCTCCTGCCTAGGCTGGACTCCAGAGTCCTAGAGTATATTTAGTCCAAGCTTAAGGCTCGGGAAATGAACGGTCACTGATGCTTTTCCAAATGTGATTAGAGAAGAACTCTATCAGGTCTTGCAAGATGTATGCAGGTTATTTTCATAGCACCCTCTAAAAAAGCAACATACTGACTGAGTGATGAATGAGCTCCCCAGGGTCACTCCAGACCAGAAGAAAATCCCAGCTCCAAGGATGATCTTCCTGTTGTAGCGATCTCCCAGGTATCCAAAGATGGGGGCAGCCAGCATGTAACACAAGGTGAAGACTGAAAATCCAACAATGAACAAAGACAATCTTTATCTAAATATTTTTGTCATATGTGCTGCTCAGCCCTCAGATATACTCAGGTTATTTTACAGCAGGCGTTAAAGGCAGGCTGAGTTTCTAGGACTAGGAGGAGGATTGATATTTGGAAAAAGACAAATGCAGACTCAAAATACCTATTCAACAATAAAATGTATGTGAATTGAATTAAAATGTGAATTACTCAACTTTTGTAGTTTTTGGGAAACCCTTCATCTTTTGTGATTCACATACATACTGTGGGATTTTTGAAGAACCCAACCCCAGTGTGACTTTCAGTTTTGCATTATAATCAGCCTGCCCACAAGTGGAAGTGAGCAATACTACCTACAGGAGGAACTAGAGGAGCTAAGTAACTGGACTGTGTTTAGGAGCAGACCACAGAGGGGCAAGGCAAAGTCAGCTCTCTGAACTGAGGAGATTTTATTACCTGTCTGCAGTAGACCTGTCTTCCCATCACTGAGCCCAAAGTATTTCTGTATATCCAACAGGATCCCTGCAACAGAGGCACACATTGAATGGCAGCAAAGCACCCTACTTAGTCCTGGTAACTGCCAACCCAAAAACAGGGCTTGCAAGAACTGCAGCACATTTAGATTTTAGTTTAGATGTAAGCCATTACTGCCCCACAAGCACGAGATGCACAGAGAATTAAAACTTCTTATCACTAGAGATAAAATTAATGATCTTCCACAATAAGGGTCTTAGGAGAGTTAGTTTACCCACTGTTTCAACCACTCCTGTTCTGCTTCTTTTGCACCATTAGCACCTAAGAACATAAAAAATTTAGAGTTCAAAGTTTAATGGACACAATGCACAATGCACAGAAATATTACATTAGAGGAATTCAGGTTTGGTCTCATAGAGTATTTAGAACAAATCACAGCTAACAAGACTGGAACAGAACCACAACTTCATCTCAAACTAACATTTACACTGAGCACCATTAAAATGTCATCCTCTCCACATAACTAAAATATAACCCTGCCAGATCCTGGCAAATTACAAAGCATTGATTTGAGCAGTTTGGTGGACAGAAAAGAGGGGAAAGGTCTGCATGGTCACTAGTTTCAACAAACTGAAATCAGCAGACAGCTAAGGGGAAGAGCTTGTTTTCTGTGATGCAAACCCTGTCAAAGCCTGAGAGCAGAACTATCCGGAAACCACAACTTGGTAACTGCTGCCAGTTTACTTCTGAGCAGATGCTCACACCTCCCCTTCCTCCCCTTCCTGTGAGCTGAATCTGACAACATGGTCACACACTTGGACAGCCAAACTCAAATGCACTGTTGCAAGAATTCTGCAGTGGCACTGAATTCTAGCAGTGAATAGTCAGTATATTGCTGTGCATAAAGTGCAGCTTACAGACTTCCCCGTGGCCCAGGAGTCACAGGACCAAGTAAAATGTGCTTTAGTCATGTAGGGTAATTAAAGGGGATGATTCAAAGGCATGGGCACTATCCCCAGCTCTGCTCTTGAATGCTTGCATGTCCCTGAAGGTACCTCACTCACAAGAGCATGTGGGAGAATTTTAAGCTCTTAACTGGTTCAGGAGCCCCTGAATAGTTCAAAGCCTGGAATGAGCCAAATGGCTTCTTGATCTTAACCCTCCAAGATCTTGATCTTAACCTTTCTAGCATCCAAGCTCTTCCTTGAAGGTATTTTCATCCTCTTCTGTCCCCTGCCCTTCTCCAAGAAAAGTTATTTGACAACAGAATGCACACACAGAAGTTTTTCACCCACAGCCTTGCAGTGACATTCAGCATGCACTCCTACTGCACTCCTACTTTGCTTCCTTCCCTCTTGTGTTGTTAAAAAGTACTCAAAAAACCAAGCTCAAACTCTTCAACCCACTCCACTCTCCATTTCTAAAGATACTGACTGAATGTCCCAAATTTCTGAATGGTTGAAGTAGCAAAATAATCACTCTGTGTACTGTAACTAGGTATTAATTCCAAATTCAGTAATCCATCCTTTAGGTTTTTTCAAGGTTTAAAATATTTCTGTTTCCCAGGCCACTCAGAAGTAAAACACAGCAAGCTCACAACAACTGTTTTCCCTGTTTTCTAAATCAGATCCCTGGAAGCATGGGAGATGCTTAGGAGTGGTACTAAATAGAAGAATTTACACAGACCACAATTTATATGGGAGAAAAAAAAACATATTTTCCCTCCATTTTACTATAAGCAACTCTTGGTTGTTTTCAGCTGGGAAAAAATAGTTTAAAAATCATATTTTGGAGGAAGGATATTATTTATTAGACAACAAGTCATAACTTGGGTGGGGGAAGGCTTAAGGAAGTGGGTCTCTATTCTTTTTCCACAATCATGTTTCACTCTTAATTGCAGAAATCACACAACTGCCAGCAGCTCACAAGGAAGTTAAGCCTCCTCTAAGCAAACTAACATGGATAACAAAGTTATCACAAAGACCACATCGTTTCTGAATTTGTAATGGAGGGAATAGCATCAGTATTCTTCAGATCAAGGAATACCATATAGAATGTACTAGATGCAAAGAAGACCTTGTAAACTGCTGTGCACAGTAAAGAGAAGCTCCTTACTCACACTTCTGTAGAATCCAGCCACAAAAATGGACCAGTTGCCCTGTATGCTAGAGTCTGTTTATAAGAGAATTAGATTTTAAAGTATTCTTTTATTTTTATAAGCATTCTACTAACTATTAATACCTAATAAATCCCTCCTACCTGATAAATCCCTCCTAGGTATTTCCAGATTTATAACTGGAAGCTTCATTAAGAGCATGATCAACAGGTTAAAGCAGATAAATGAGAGAAAGTAAAAAGACATAAAGCATATCCTTACTTTAGAAACATTTGTAGAGCTGCTAAGAACTTAAATTTCTTTTTCTTTAGAAGAGGAAAATGGGTTCTCACCTGGCACAATGAACCAATCAATGAAATTTATTAAATTCCCAAAGCACAGCACGGCAACTACCAGGTAATCCCTCTTTGCTGAGCTGTTCCTTGGCACAGCCACTGATGGACACTGGGTCCCATCTGCTGCAGCAGCTCCATAACTCTGTCCCTCCAACAGTGGCTGGAGCAGCAGGCTTGTGTCTTCATGTTCACAGGGGGGTTGCATGTCTCCAGTGCAGACACTCAGCAGGGATGTTGAAGCATTTCCTCACACAAAATTGATGTGTTGGGGCTATGAGGAACTTCAATCACTACGGTCATTTCCGGACTGAAGCACAGCCACTAAGAACTGAAATGTTCCTTGCAGTCAGAAGAACTTACAAAGAAAAAAGCTGCAGTGCTGTGTTTTGCAAAAGTGCTGAAAACCATGGCCTTGAAGACAAGGCAAAGTAAATGTAAACAAAAACAAAGTATTCCATTGTGCACCCAAGAAATAAAACAACTCCACAGTCATCACACAGAAACTGCAAATGCAAAAATAACAGTGTTCTATGTTGTCGGTGAGTTGTCAGAGCTAGAAATAGTCTTTCTACAGAAGAAAGGGAAAAAGAGAGAAAGAAAGATGGAAGGAAGAAAGAAAGAGAGAAAGAAAGATAAAGGAAGAAAGGAAGAAAGGAAGAAAGGAAGAAAGGAAGAAAGGAAGAAAGGAAGAAAGGAAGAAAGGAAGAAAGAAAGAAAGAAAGAAGGAAAGAAGGAAAGAAGGAAGGAAGGAAAGAAAGAAAGAAAGAAAGAAAGAAAGAAAGAAAGAAAGAAAGAAAGAAAGAAAGAAAGAAAGAAAGAAAGAAAGAAAGAAAGAAAGAAAGAAAGAAAGAAAGAAAGAAAGAAAGAAAGAAAGAAAGAAAGAAAGAAAGAAAGAAAGAAAGAAAGAAAGAAAGAAAGAAAGAAAGAAAGAAAGAAAGAAAGAGAAAGAAACAGAAAGAACACAATCAGCCTTTAAAACAGAGATGTTTTCCCCTTTCTCCCCCAAACAACAGGTCCAAAAGGGGAGGAGGAGAGGGCAAAGGAAGACATTCTTGTTCTTTTGGTACATGTAGACACTTATCTGCCTTCTTTCTTCTGTCCACTCACATTTTTAGAAGTATTCAGTCACGTCTTTTGAGCGACTTTATGGATTACTAACTTCACAAGCTAATTTATTTTTTGCACCCTGTTAATATAATTTAAAGTGAAAATTGCCAGCAAACTCTAAGAGTTTAAGAGTGAGGCAGCTAATTTGAACAAGGACTGCTTATGGTTCATGACTCATGCATGAAGACACTGGTCTGTGGTTGGGTTTTTTTAAGAACTGGGTATTTCACACTTTACACTAACTGAAAAACAAAATAGCACCTACCATTTTTGGCCCTTTTTCAAAATGCACACTCCTTTGCTTCCATGTGCCCAACACGAATATTTCATTCTATCTTTTCCTTCTTTTATCTCCCCTTTTCTCTACTATAGACCACTATAGGATGTTCTCTGAGCGATGTCACCTGTACTACCCCAGTGCTTAACTAACGCAGCGAAATCAAGAGATCCTTGGAAGTTCTAGGAAGCAATAAAGAATCAACACGATATTGTAGCCAGTAAGGGTTTTATCTCAACCCCAGCGGTGCCCAAAGGCGAGTCAGAGCCACAGTTCCATCCCGATTCACTCGCTGCAGCGGGAGCGCGCTGTGGCTGCGCTGCCCCGCTGGGTGGCGCCCCAAGGCCGCGGCCGCACCGCCCGCTCCGCCCGGCCCCTGAATCCTTTCCCGGGAATATTTTCCTCTGAATTCTTTCCCGGGAATATTTTCCATGTTTGATGCCCAGCCACAGCTCAGGCCTTGTAAGGAAGGACTCACGGGGCGGCTCATCAGGGTTGAACTCTCACTTTGGATAGTTTCAATGTCTCCTGATCCAAGCGTTGTCGCACATCCTGGATTGCTCTCAGTGAGGTTCACTGATGTTTTGGGATGACCAAAAGCAGGTTTTTAATATAACTGCTGTGGTAAGAACACGATTCTGCTTTTATAGAGCAGAATTTCCAAATTCCAAATTTTCCAAACACAGAGTCAGATTAAACAAAATGTTCCTCACAAACACAAAACCATCAGTTCTGAACACTTCTTTTGATTCCCTTTTTGCCCTTCATTAAAGTTTCCAGATACCACTTCATGCTTTTTGTTGCTGTACCACCTGGCCACTGGTGCCATCACCTCTGTGTACACATCCCCCTTCTCCCTTCCCTCGATGTCACAAGCCACCTCCTTCACTGCTGGGTACAAATCTGCAGTGGTTTTTAGAAGGGCCCTGTGACTTTGCCTTCCTCAGCTCCTATAGCCACCATTCCTTGATAGCCACCCTGCTTTAACTGCATGCTTGCCCTGTTCTCCAACAACAATTTTCATGTTTGCCCAGACCACACTGCTCCAAAAACTTCCACCAAAAGTTTGTGACAATCCCCATTGTGGGCATATAGAAGGCCACTATACAATACAAGTCAACTTTTGTCAGGCAAGATCACAGCTCACTTCGTTATAGGCAATTAAAATTCTTCCTTATTTGTTCTGTCAGTCAGGCAGTTCCTTTCTTGGAACCAAGTGTGGTGTTTGCCTCCATAGCTTACCCTGTTGGTGCCAGGTGCCCATGCAATATAAAAAGCAGCTTTTTATGCCTGTCATACTCCTTCAGGAGCTCTGTTCTCTTGGTGGCTCATTTGAGCACGAGATCTCATAGCTGTGCCATGCAGTTAAACCCTCCCATGAGAGCAGCAAGTCAGAACCTCATTATTCTCATGTTTGGCACTAGTCCTGACACAGAGCAACATATTTTCTTACACCATTTGGGATCTGGCTGTGGTACCAAAAGTTGTTTTGATGGCTGAACCTGACAGAGGCAACTGAGCCCCCCCAGATGAGCAGAGATGTTTGGTGATAGTTAAAGGGTTGGCTGATCCTCAGCAGGCCAAAAAATGTGCCATGCCTGAATCCCTGCAGGACTGCTTACCTCAACCTATGTGAGAGCTTCTGGCTGTCCCTGAGAGGATTTCCCAGTATTTACTACAAAATGCCTTTGAATGTATTTATTTATCCAAATATCCTCTAATGGTGGATGCTGCCACATCTGTGAAGAGCTTTGGAGGTTTGCCAGAGCTTTCCCAGAAAGCTACATCAGAAGGGGCATTAATAGTGAACCAAGATGTCAGAAAGATATAAATTGAAAATATATTGAAAATATATTGTTATATATATTGTTATTGAAAATATATTGTTATCCTGATTCACTCCAAACCATTTTCATGCATGTAAAGAAAAGAAGCTTATTAAGCCACTGAATAGCAAACAGCAACAAAATCTAAACTAAATTAAAAACTAAATATGAAAATAATATTCATTGTTGACTAGATGTAACAATACTGATTTTAGGAAGAAAGAAATAAGCTGCTTTTGGTATCTCTGTCATGCATTACCCAGACAGAGAACATAAAGTAACCAAAAGAAAATACATACTTGTGTGTATTAGCAAGTATATATTTAATTGCTGCAATATAGTTAGCATCAACAAGCATGCATTTAATGCAGAACATATAAGTCTGGTCTGCATTTTAAGGTGTATATATTTTAAGTCTGTTGTGATGGAAGCAAATTCATAAATCATGAGATTCTGCAAATAATTGACATTTGGATTGGTTCACAACATAATAATTTTAGTGTCTGACAAGATCAAAAAAGTGAAATTTAACATCCATCTGGTAGACAGACAGCTCAATAAATGCATGTCCAGACCCACCTGAAATATTCCACTCCAAGGAGATTCAAAGACAATTATGGTGACTGCAAAAGAGCTGCAGAGTGAGACATTCAGGTAGGAGGCTGTGGGGGTCTAAGGTTTGTCACTACTTGTACAAAGGCTGCACAATAACTCACTTTGGGTTTGAACCCAGTCTGCAGTGCTAAAACACAAAGGCAGACTTGGAGTGAGACATGAACACCTGGGCTGCATGTCTGGAGGGGCAGAGGTTTGACAGCTCAAACCAAGCAGTGACCAGCCTGACAGGAGGGCAGGCAACTCAAGAAGTGTAATCATGTATAAAAGTAGCATAATTTTCAGTTCCAGATTTATTACAGAATCAACACTTGATCCTGTTCTCATAAAAGTCTATATTACAAAACTCCAGAGATGACTCATCTACTAATGTGGATATTTTTCTTGCCTTTCAGCCCTCCAGACTGATGCACATTTGCCAAGCTGTTATTGCTTTGGAATACACAGCTGAGAGGGAGGGAGCCCAAGCACTCTCCTTCCAAGGGAAGTTTGAGAAATTCTACACCTGGACTTTGCTGAATCTGCTCTCTGTGTGCTGCTTGCAGCTACATTATCCATGATGTCAAAAGCTGTTAGGAAATATTTTGTATTTTAGCATGAAATTTAGTACTTGAATAATCAAAACTAGATTGCCAACAGTTTTTCTTCACCTTTGCAGGCAGAACTACATGTGTGAGCCATTATTTAATTTGAGTCTCTGTCCTTATCTGCAAGACTAACAATCTTTAATGTAGTCCACTACTACCAAAAACTTCAAGAAAACCAGCTGGACCAGCTGATCCACTCTACACTTAATTGGAAAATATCTGCTAGGAGGATTCTCATTCTGTGAGTTTCAATAAATGCTGGTTTTAGTCACCACATCCTTTTTACCTCCTCACCCCGAATTTCCATCTAAAATGGTTTCTTTATTATTGCCTGATTAATAGCACAAAACCCAGGGTGGATTCACTGGAGCATATTCTAGCATTGTGATAGCAGCAAATAAAATTTACACAGACTAAAGTATAAAACCTACTATTTCATTGTGACTGACAAATAAGCTCTGTATAGATTCCTACTTCCTGGGATGCAGATGGTGCTTTTGGTTGGGCAGGGAAGCCAGTTCAGACTCTTCTCCTTCATCCTTTAAATTAGGAAACAAACTGAAATTTTACAAAAAAGTTCTTGGGGCTCTTACCTAGATAACTTATCTCACATGTGACATATTCCTTGGTTGTATCCCTATAATTCTGTCCCAAAAAGAATAGCAGAAGAAATTACAGTTCCAGCACATAATCACAGAGCAGCAAAAGATGAAGACACTTCATTTCTATTAACTGCTCCCTTCTTCTTCTCTGGGAAACCAGAAAGAAAAGCAAAGACCTCCTTTGCAAATGA